GCCCCCTCCTCGGGCCGAGCCCAGGCGCCCGCCGCCCCACGCTCTCCGACCCTCGCGCCCGGGGCGCCGCCGCTGCGCCGAGAGAGGCGGCCGGGCGCGGCCAGGGTTCCTGGCGAGGGCGGCGCTTTGCCCGCGAGGCTGGGAGAGCGTGGGGCGGCGGGCGCCTGGGCTCGGCCCGAGGAGGGGGCGGCCAGGGCCGGGCCGGACGCCGGGGTCCGGCCGTGCAGATCCTTGAGGAAGGGTCTGGCGGGCGAGGGCGCGCGGTGCAACCGCCTACGCTCGGCCAGCGGGTGGAGGTGATGGTGGCGGTGGTGCTGGCCGGGCGGCAGCGGCTTCGCCTCCGGGGTGCCGCCGCCCGCGAGGCCGTTCAGCGTCTCCATGGCCGGGTCCCGGGCCGCGAGCAGCAGCTCGGGCGGCAAATGCTCCGGGCGGCGGCGGCGGCGGCGGCGGCGTGCAGCCTCCCCGCGCGCCCGCTCATCACTGTCCCCAGCCCCGCCCGGTCTGCGCCCCGCGCTCTCGCGCCGCCGCCGTTCCCCGCGCACCCCTGGCCCCCAGGATCCCAGCGGGGCTGGCGGCCGCCGTCGTCCCGCTCTCCCCTCGCTGAGGTCACTGCCGCTCGAGTTCACCCGGCACAACGGCGCGGCGGCTCCCTGCCGCTCGCATCCCTAGACGCTGCGCTCCGGGCTCGCGGGTCCGCACACCCGCACTCGTCCGCTGGCGGCGCGCTCCCCGCTCCCGCGTCGGGTTCCCCGCCCACGGCCGCCCAGCTCCCCGCAGCGCCCGCCAGCTCGGGTGGGGAGGAACTGCACGCGCACTCCCCCGCCTCCCGGCGCCCTGCGCCCAGCCACCGCGTGCGCATGTCCCTCCTCCCGCCAGCCGGCGGCGGGGGTGGGGGCTGGAGGGCAGGGGGGCGGGGCCTGAGCTCCGCGGGCTCGCGCGCCCGACGCGGCCCCCAGCGTTCTTCGCCCTGGGACCCTCCTTGCTTTTTGAGGCTCTAAGGACAGTGCCGAGAGCTGGGGAGGGAAGGAAGTAGCAAGGGTGAAGTGGGGGTGGCAGAGAGGCGGACACTGGCCACTTGCGGGAGACTGGATGTCCGGGAGACGTGAGTGGCCCCCTGGGTGGTGTGTGCAGTGGGGTCCCAGCCCCCCCTCTGTTGTTGACCAACGGCCCCCACGGGCCCCTCCATCCAACCCTTGCCTCCTAGGTTCTCCTAGTTCCGTCCCCGCTGTCTTCTCACAGCTGTGCGCGTAGTCCCCACACTCCTCTAAGGACTGCTGGTACCCTATGCAGCTATCGCGTCAAAGCGGGCACCGTGCTCTACAGTTGGCACCCCCTGTGGCCTCCGGAGCTCGGAGAAGGAGGAGCTGCCGTAGAAATAGGAGAAGCAGCTCGCCAAGCTTGGGGTCAGAAAGGGAACTCACATTTATAGTTCCGGCCGCGAGCCAGGCGCTGTTAGACACTCCATAGGCATTGTTTTATTTAATCCTCACAGCAAGCCCAAATTGGAATTACTGTCTTCTTTAAGGATGAGGTCACGGGAGCAGGGAGGTAAAGTCGGTGCTTTAGCCAGTCCATGGCCGGGTCGGGATTCACACAAAGTCTGTAGAATTCTCAGTCCTACCACGGGTTGAGTACCGGTTCTGCCCCTTGGGAGTCTAACGTGGGCCACCGACCTTTTCGAGCCTCGGTCCCCTTGCCTGTATAATTAGAAAATACCGCTACATGAGCATGGTGACGATTAAATCAGCAGATGTGAGAAACGCTGTGCAAACTGTAAAGTGCTTTTCAAATATCCTTGAGTCCCGTTTTTGTCCCAGGCGTTGGGTGTTGAGTGCTACTCAAAGGAGTAAGGCCCAACCCGTTGTCTAGACTTGGCTTTGCCAGGAGGCAAAGGAATAGTCAAGAATTACAAGTTGCTGCGGAGAGCATTTGCCCCCCACCCCTTCCCCCCGAACCCTGCCTGGGAAGATTGGAGTTTTCCCACAAGGATGGGCTGTCGTTGGGTGGTTGTCGGGGATTTGCAGAGCAGGGGCTGTAGGTGAGATATCACTGGAGGGCTGGTGGGACCATATACCCTGTGGATAATATCCTAAAGGCTGGGGCAGCCTTTGGAGGATGGTGAATATGGCTGATCTTATTTGCCTGGAAAGATCCCAGCGGTGGCAACAGGGAGGAGACGGAGAGCCGTGAGCGGGAACAGTCAGTGGCTGTGGCAACACAGTAGTGGTAGGGGTAGAGAAACGGGGATAGACTTGGGAGGATACGAGGAAAACTAGGCTCCAAAGTCTATGATCTTAACCACAAATTACCCTACTTAGCCCCCTCCTTCAAAAAAGGCAGGAGAAAGTGCTTTTTTAAAAAATCACTGTAAGTCAGGAGAGTCATACGCCCAGAAGACAGCCCGTCGGCTTCTCCTTAGATGCCGCCAGTGATGCTGGGCCACGTTCTGTGACCGAGCTCTGAGGGCACCGAAATGCTGACCTCTCTGCTGCTGTTCATGTTTTTTGAGCCATTTACCTGGCAAGTCCTCTGAATGTGTGACAGCACACACAGAGTATAATCTGTACTGAATCTCCTTTGACGCAATGTCTGCTAAGACCACAGCCGTATTTCATGGAGTATTTGAAGAAAAAAAGAGACTGCAGAAAGCCTCGGGAGGCGCCCGGGCCCGGCACCCAGGGATAGCCAGCTCTCCCCTAGAGGGCGCTCCAACTCTCCCCTTCGGGTGACTGGCCGTTCATCAGAAACTGGCTGTCAGTCCGGGAGCACAACCTACTGTGTAATTCAGGGGCCAGGACCTTCACTTAGAACTTCCTCCAGAGACCCAGAAGTCGCCAATAACCTACATTTCCGAAGAATTGTGCCCGGGACTCCTAGCCCAAGCTCCTCATACCGTATGTAATCACGCAAAAGGCCACCGTAAAATGTTCCAGTAAGTTAGTGTTCCAAAAGTTTTAGCCAGATGACCGTACCATTTGTACCAGCTTCCCTTTTCCTCAGATAAGAAGTCAAGCAAAATTCATACCCTGAATTATTAGCCTGGCAATTGTTTCTGCTGGCCCTTGGCAAGAAGGCATTCAATAACGCTTTCTTTTGCCAATATTCAGTACGTTACAGGTATAAAAAAGATATCCTCTTGCATGAACAGATGTTTTTAAAGTCATGTGATTTAAAAAGAAAATTTTTTTGTTCCATCAAGTAAGTCTAAAGGTGTTAGGGGGTTACTATTTAAAGAAGCCATAAGGTGCTCTATTCTGGAAAACAACAACAGAATCCCACGTGGGGATATCTGTTTGGATCAGTCAGCTCTCAGACCCAGTCCTCGCCCTTCCCTGCCTGCTCTGTACAGGGGAGGGAGCAACTGATGAGGTTGGTTTTCCAGGTTCCTGGGGTTGCCGACTGGGCGCGGCCCGCAGAGATTGGAGTGTAACAGCAAGGGAGAAACCAGGGTTATCACCTTCTCTCTCTGCCTCCAGTGGCTTCTTCAGAGTGGCCTGGTCTCCTTCGTGCACTGGCTGACTGGGTTTCTCTCAGCTTTCACTGGATGCCCCATGGCTTCTGGTAACTTCGCCACCGCCTGTTGCCTCTCAGTCAAGGGTGCTGGTGGTTTCCTGTGGTTGCAGATCTCTGGGTTCCTTCACTGTTCCCGGTTGGGCTCTCGACTCCTCCCCCTTTCTGTAATCCGTTCCCTGCATTATAAACCCTGTGTTATAAATACTTGCACTCTCGAGATACTTGCACTCTCTACCAAGGTTCTGATTTTCTCATTCTTTTGCAGAGGCCTACTGCATGCAGCATCGTTGGTGTGGTACGTAATTCGGTATGACTGTATCCATTGTCAAGGAGCAGTGTGGGATAGTGACAAGAGCTGAGGCTTCCACACCAGGGAAATCTGGGTCCAGATGCTGCCTAAGGCATTAGCACTCTCTGTGCCCTTGGGTAAGGAAGGTATTATTATCACTCTCATCATCACCATTATCATTTAATACCAGTGGAATAATCAATACTCTTTAAAATGTGAGCAAACCAAACTTGGAGCAAAACTTAGAAAATCTAGTATCGCCACAGTTATATAAAGAGATACGAATATTTTTAAACCTTGTTTGACTCATAGTGGGAATAATATGACGTGGGACTACGCTTCCTTTACTGCTCTGGATGCACAGGCAGAATTATATGCAGAATTTCTGTACCCTCAAAACCTTGTCCAAACCTAGGGACATCCACTTTTCCAGTGTTTTCCCTTATTTTAATACAAAAGTGCATTTAGAATATGAAATCATTCTTTGCTTAAATCATCAGAAACAATCCTCTTTGAAAACAGTGGAAAAGCCGACTCTTGATTTCAGCTCAGGTCATGATCTCGCGCTTTGTGAGTTCGAGCCCTATGTCAGCCTCTGACAGCACAGACACAGCTTGGGATTCTCTCTCTCCCTCTCTCTCTCTCTCTCTGCCCCTCTCTCACTCATGTGTGAGCTCTCTCTCTCTCTCTCTCTCTCTCTTAAAATAAATAAATAGACATTTTTAAAAATGCAGATTCTATGGCCACATGCTCCGGAGATGTGATTTCAAAGGTGTGGAGTGGAGCCCTGGAATCTGTATGTTTAACAAATTCATTTGATGCAGGTAACTGTCTGACCACATCCTAGAAACCCTGTGTTGGTATTTCTAGCACAGCTCTGGGTGTCATATGCTCATCATTTGCATTTCCTCCTGTTCCTTTTTGAAACTCCTTCCAATGCTGAGTGTGAAGTTCCAGATGACAGACGTGGAAAGACCAAGATAGAGATGTACTCTAAATCTGAACTGGAGACAATGTCCCACCAAAGTGCTGTCCAGGGGCCAGTCTTGTGGGGAAGGAGGCAAATCTCCCTCTCCTCTGAGAGCTAGAGGAAGGACACATATGAGGGTAGAAGGGAGGGCCTTTTGCCCTTGACCAGTGGTTCTCAATGAGTGTAGAAGCACCTTTAGGGGCATTCTGCGTACTTTTTCTTATCTTGACAGTTGGGTTGCGGGGCACTTGTGGAATTTAGGGGAGGGGTCAGGGATGCTGAATGTCACAGTATGCCCTTAAGAAGAATTGTTCCACATACTGTCCAACTTCCAAAAGCCCTTCTGAAACATTCACATCGGTTAAAAAAACAAAAAACAAACCTGTCACTATCTGAGCCTAGAATGTGACTGTCGTAGTCCATTTGGGCAGCTATCACAGAATACCATTGATTGGGTGGCTTGTAAACAACAGAAATTTATTTCTCACAGTCCTGGAGGCTGGAAGACTGAGCTCAGGGTGCCTGTGTGGCCAAGTTCAGGTGAAAGCTCTCCCTGACTGCAGACGGCCATCTTCTCGTGTCCTCACATGGGGTCATGTGTCTGGTGTTCTCACAAGGCCAACCCGTCTGGGGTCTCTTTTGTAATAGTACTAATTCCATTCATGAAGCCTCTACCGAACCGAGCTAATCACTCCTGAATGTCCCACCTCCTGAGACCTTCACATGAATTTGGGGCTGAGAGAGACACAAACATTGGTCGATAGCACAGTTTTACACATAAATGCAACGCTTCTACATATAAAGCAGAATTTTTAGCGTTCCCAGATGTACTGGATTTTTTTTAAAAAATTTTAAATGTTTATTATTTATTTTTGAGAGAGAGACAGAGCACAAGCAGGGGAGGGTTAGAGAAAGAGAGGGAGACACAGAATCAGAAGCAGGCTCCAGGCTCCAAGCTCTCAGCACAGAGCCCGACGCAAGGCTCGAACTCACAAACCGGGAGATCGTGACCTGAGCCAAAGTCGGATGCCCAACCAACTGAGCCACCCAGGCACCCCTATACTGAATTTTTTAAAAAAGAATGAAGCTACAATAGAAGTCATGACTGACAACTTTTAGATTTACAATGACTTCTTCGTCTTCAGTCATTCTGTCATTGATGGCAGCACCACTCAAAGTACATGAGTCATCACCATAACCCACCTGTATTTGTGTTTTAGCAAATTGCTTCTATGTGTAGAATCTAACTACCTCATTATATGTATTTTCTAGTATTTGTACCTAAGCCTTATATATATGTTGAAATACGTATTATTTTGTGGAGCCTGCTTGGAGTTCTGTCTCCCTCTCTCTGCCTCTCTCTCTCTCAAAAAAAAATGAACATTTAAAATGAAAATATGTTTAGTGGAGTGATACGCATATAATGATTCTCATTTGGGGAGCGGGGTGGGGGGGGGGGGCGCGCTGTGCACTGACCGAGTTGAGATCCACTGTTTCTGTACGGAAACAGGTAAGATGTGTTGGGGGGGTGCCCCCTAGTGGTCGGTGTTGTGACGGCATCCCTCCCCCAGCAAGGAGAAAATGAGAGTCTGGAAACGTTGGTAATTCTAAGACTTCCTTTCATTAAATGAGGCAGTGTTCCCTTATAAAAACTTTTGACATGTTTGCTAACCTTACAATTAGAAATTTGGGCTTCCTTTTTCTGGAAACGTAACTGCTAAAATATTTTTTTTTAATTTTTTAATGTTTATTTTTGAGACAGAGAGAGAGAGAGAGAGAGAGAGAGAGAGAGAGATGCTAGTGGGGGTGGGGCAGAGAGAGGCAGAGACACAGAATCTGAAGCAGGCTCCAGGCTCTGAGCTGTCAACACAGAGCCTGACGCGGGACTCGAACTCACAAGCAGTGAGATCATGACCTGAGCCAAAGTCGGATGCTCAACCGACTGAGCCACCCAGGCGCCCCCCAAAATATTTTTAATTATTGTTTAAAATTATTTTGAGATTCTAAGCTTCACGCACATGGAAAATACACTGTTAAATAAGGGAAACTAATCAAAATTCTCTACCTCTCCTCATTAGCAGCATGTATACTCTGAAAAACTCAGGGAAATTAATATGTTATGTTTGTCTCCCTTGATTTAGAACATTCCAGATTTCACTATACAGCTTCTGAAATGTACAGCATGTGTGTGTTTGCTTTTATAGTAATTCACTATTATTTACATCTCTACTTACACAGTTACTACCTTTCAAAACAGAAATGGGGATGTGAAATAGAAGATGCCAGAAACCACTTTATCTCACTGATTGGCTTTCCCAACCACAGTGCTCTTCTTTCCATATAAAAAAAGAGTTGTTTACATGGAAAGCAAAAATACACAATGGATTTATAGAGGGCTCCACTGCACATCATACTTAGAAGTTTCCTGATTAATTCAGGAAATACAACACTACGAAATTTCACACGTATGAATACATTTTGATTACTATTTCTATGTAAACTTACTGTCAAGAGAATTTTACCCATGAGGCGATATAACAATGTAAGCTCTGTACCTGATCACAATGATTTGTTCTTTTACCTTGGACAAAATAGTTCAGTCTTCCTGGACCTTTGAGGCCTTATCTGTAAAATTAGAGAGTTGAACTTAAATAAGCTTTAATTAATGTCCCAGCTTCATGAATCTGGAGGTTGAGGTGAATTTGCCCATGCTATTTTAATTATCAACATGGGATTATCTATAGCAAATTGTAGGCCACCTCTGTTCATTCTCAGACAAAATGTACCACCCAATATAAACCAATTTTAATAGGAGAACAGTATAATGAAAAAGGTTCATATGATGGAATAAATATGACAAATGTTAGTCATGCATATTCTTGATTACCCTATCGGGGCAGACTATTGAGAGTTAATCATGTTTTTTAAGTGGCCTTCGGTATTGCTTAGAGTAAGTCCGTTTCACACTTGCCTCTTTAAATACTGCCCACGGGATCTGAGAATTTGAAAAGCAGGTAAGAGGCATTGGAGAGAATCGTCATCCTGTCCTTTTGTTAGTCCCTAGTTAGGAACCCCCAGGACAGGGACCACTGGTTGTTATTCTAAAGCAGTCCTCCAGTCCATAATTAGGAAGATCGTAATCAAACCATAGAATATTTGAGAATGAAGGGGCACCGTTAATAATTACATGAGACAACAAGCATGCACTGGACCTGAACAGGCGGCTCAGGCCATAAGGTCACTCTATGACTAATGCACATTCCTCAAGGTAAGAAGGTCTCCTGATTGGAGCAGACTGACTCATTCATGTCCACCTACGCTAAGAAGACATGAACTCTTTTTGTTTTGTTTAACTCTTTTAAATATAATCTGCTAGAAGACTGTTGAAGAATCTCTATAGCCTGCTCATACACTCAGTCATTTATACACACATCCATTCAAAGATTATTCATTCAACACCTTCAAAAATGCCAGGCTATATATAGGTATTGGGAATAGCAGTGATGAAAAGAATGGCATCTGCCATGATGGGGCTCATAATCTCATATGGAGATTATTATAAGAGAAAAGCTGTCCCTGACATCTGGACCTGGCCTCCACTCTCACCCAGGCCTCCCTGTTCCCTGGGATCTGGCCCAGATCTCAAAACCAGGCCATGGTATTCTCCCATTAAACATAAACAGTGTCACAGAGGCTCAGCATCAGACAAGGCCACTCTGGGATCGTGATGGGTCAAGACCAAAACAAGAGCACTCCCCTAGTAGTCCCGTGCGAACAAAGACAAAACACGACCACTTTCTAAACCACTCAAATGCTCAAATATCCCTCTCTGATCCCTAATTTGAATGACTGCTCTTCTTACCAATTGTAGCTTCAGCCTTGCTCCATCGTCCCTCCTTCTATAAGATTCATTAAGATACCCATTCAGAAATAGCCCACTTCCTGACATCATCCAATCAACAGCAAAGTCCCACTTCACTACACCCTCCCCCAAATCACCCGAGACCAAATCTGGGTTTTCTTTCACACCCTCCTACCGAAGGCTCCTGGGTTGTCCTTTCTCCCTCACTGCCATGAGCAATAAACCAGACTTACTCAGCCACAGGGTATTGCCCCTGGTGAACGGATAATTATGATGGCCAGCATAAGGCAAAGAATCAAGCTGAAATGGTATATGGTATTCACTCTGTGTTTCACAAATCTATGACTATGTGAAACATAACCTTCGTGCTTTAATGTGTCTTGTTTGTCCTTGAAAATGACTATATAAATATTGAAAAATCATTATCTATTTAAAGACGACAAGTCTCTGAGCACCTCAACCTCCTTAACAGCTGCCCAGATCAAAACCTACGGTGGAGATGATGCTGAATAGACAATCTTTAACTCCAAAAATTGCTTTTGTTCTTTTTTTTTTTTAATGTGTATTTATTTTGAGAGAGACAGAGTGCAAGCAGAGGAGGGGCAGAGAGAGAGGGAGACACAGAGTCCGAAGCAGGATTCAGGCTCTGAGCTGTCAGTACAGAGCCTGATGCGGGGCTCGAACCCACATGCCATGATATCATGACCCGGGCTGAAGCTGGATGCTTAACCAACTGAACCACCCAGGGAACCCCCCACCTTTTTTTTTGAAAGAGAGAGAGGACGCAAGTGAGCAAGGGGCAGAGACAGAGACAGAGAGAGAGAAAGAAGCAGGGCTTACCAGAAACGGGGCTCGAGCTCACCTGATGTGGGACTCAAATTCACAAACTGTGAGATCATGACCTGAGCCAAAGTCAGATGCTTAACAACTGAGCCACCCAGGCACCCAAATTGCTTTTGTTCTACAGTGACATGAGTATCTTAATTTTTCCACCAACATAATGCCATTTCATAATCTACGATGCAGCATTCAGTGATTTCATGAACCCGCAATTCTTTTCTGCCATGCAGCTTAATTTGTTTACTTATTTCTGTTTTCTCTGTGGGGTGCTTCTCAAGTATAATCAAGGAGTTTGGAAATTTACCAAGTAATGAAAAAGGAAATAATCATAGAAGCATAGAATGAGGAGATAAATAAAATAAAAATTCATTGCCTAGTCAGTATTTCAAAGGAATGAAACACAGTATTTGAAGGTTTTCATTGTCTTCGTCCTGAAAAAGATAAGCGAGATAGAATGGAATGGGCTATCTTTAAAAGTACAACGGCAAGTTCTCTGGGAGAGCGTTGCCTATGCTGAAGGCTGTGTACCCAAAAATGCCACAGAACAGATTCTGATCTGGGCAAAGGGTTCTCTTTCAGCTCTATAGATGTATTCTTGGCTGTCGTCCACGGAGTGTAACCTTCTCAAGTACAGAGCCATAGGGCAATACAGAAATCCGCACACAGTGGGTGTGTAGTGTATCTCTGCCTATTACCTAACTAATAGAACTCACCACTGGAGCAAGTAGGTGTCAAGAAGGAAGACAGCTAAGAACTTACAGAACTGGAGAAGCGCAGGAGCTCCCAGCATTACTATGGCTTTCCTTCTGGTCTTTATTCTTCAAGAAGACAAAAATAGCATCTTTGTTGTTGTCTGGTATCGTGAATATTCCACATGCTGAGAAACATTCTGCACGGATCATGATTTTATTTAATCATAAAAGTTGCCTTTCTTTTTCTTTCCTTGCTCCCACTCTTCAAAGGCTCTACAGATGCATCATCAAGGTCAAGGGAGTTGCCACTTGTAACTTAGAACAACATAGCATTGTCGTCTGTTTAAATCCCTCTTCAGGGATGATACCCTCTCATCTATTCATTCTGCAAGATTCTAGAATCTTAGACAACATTCTATCAAGTAGAACCTTCTGCATTTCATTTTGGCCTTATTCACTGAAAATTATGGAGTCCAAAGCTTTCGTTTATACTGCTTCTATATATACCTCCAGGGCAAGAAAATGGATGAGAAGAATGGTTATCTTACAGCTTTTTCAAACAGAAACTCATTACAATCTCAGTTAATGAAGCATGGAGAAATCAAACTCAAAGCATCAGCATTTGCTACCTCCTAGATGCCTGGAACTTTTCAAAGTGAATTACAGAGCAGATTCACACCCTTTAAAGAATTTGTAAATTCAGAAACGGCTGGGAGCAGGTGAGTATTTCTGCAAAATTTGAGAGGTGTGGATCTATGACCGAGGAAACAAGGACTGTGGCATCCCCAGAAGCTTTCCTTTTGAATCAGGAGCTGCTTTGACCAGGACTTGCGTGGTATAGTGTTCGCCGAAGCACGGATGGCCAAGGACCTCTATCCTATTATTTACCTTTATTACTTCCTGGTGTTGGCACTTCCGCAGAAAATGTTGACGCGTGACATCAAAGGCAAAGAGGAGATCCGCAATCCCTAGTTCCTTCCCTGCTCCTCCTAAGCTGAGGGAAGCGAGCGTGGGGAAAACGTGCAAATATCAAGGAGCAAAATCAAAACAGCCAAGTTCATTTGGGGCTGCTTACGTGATTCAAAGCGCGGTGAACATCCGCGGCGAGGTCTTGCCGAATTACTTCTATGAGAAGGCACGATGCAGTAGCTGGGAGCTGGGGTTCTGGTGCTAGACCCCAGCGTGGCCAACTTGTATCCTTGGGTAAGTTACCCATTCTCTCCATGCCCCTGTTTTCTTATAAAATGGTGGTAATGATGGTGCCTAACTCATAGGGCTGTTGGGAAGATCACAACCAGTAACAAAACAAGTAGTACCGCGAGTATTAAATACTGTTAATACATACAGACAGAATCATATTATTCAGCACCCCCGCAAGACCTGAATCAAGATTAGCTATTGCTAGGGGGGAGGGGGGGATGAAGGTTTGAAGCAATGTATCATGAATTCAAGATACCAGCACCTCTGAGTGCATGCCCTCCAACCAGCTTTGTGTTGGTAATTTAGCTTCCTGTATAAATCCGCTAAGAATCCGCTAAGTATATATATATACACACACACAAGAAAGAAAACATGCAGAGGGAAGTAATTACGTCTGGCAAGGCTTGATGGTGGAGGTAGAAAATGAGGCTTCTCTCATGGATCAATGGGCCCTAGGTATGCGTGTTCTCTTGGTTTTACAGATGGAGAAACTGAGCAGCAAGGGAAAGGGGTACTTCAGCAAATGCCACCACAGTGTTTAGGGGCGGAGGCAGGCTTTGCACTCAGAAGTGCTCTGTCAGGGCACAGCCACGGCCACGCCTTGAGCTCCCTCGCAGCATAAACAGCTGCCTTCCCTGCAGGTGGGGTGACCCGGGCGTGTCAGGCACCCATCGGAGCTGCTGTGGACCTTTCCGAGGGGTGACAGGGAGCTGACTTCGCAAGATGCACAGAGGACAGATCTGCTAGAGAGACAACTGGAAGGGAAGAACTAAGGGTCGTCAGGCCGATGATACGATATCGCGTCTGCTTTCTGGGTTTAGAAAGCCAGGAGCATTTCTGGAATTTCCATTCATGAGTGAGATAATGGTGGAGGGAGAGTTTTATATGTAGCAGGAATCAGAGGCCTTTGGGAGCTCGTGGAGTGCATACAGGAGAGATGAGTTCTGCTCAAATGAATTCTATAGAAGTTAGAAATTGAAAAGGTGGGGAAACAGCCTGTCCCTGTATAGTGATCTAAGGAAGGGCTGACCTTAAGAACCTGAAAAAAATTGGCTCTTTTTCTTCTTTTATGTTGATTTACTTTCGAGACACACAGAGAGAGAGAGAGAGAGAGAGAGGGAGCGGGGGAGGAGCAGAGAGAGAGGGAGACACAGAATCCGAAGCAGGCTGCAGGCTCCAGGCTCTGAGCTATCAGCAAAGAGCCCAACGCGGGGCTTGAACCCACAAACCACAAGATCATGACCTGAGCCGAGGTCGGACGCTTAACCCACTGAGCCAATGAGGCGCCCCCCACCCCCAAATTGGCTGTCTTTAGGTCCCTTCAGAAACTTAAATGTGGCCCCGTGAGAATGTCATTTGAGAGGAGCAAAGGAAGAAGAAATTAGATTCTTTGAGACTTGGGAAAACAGAGCCCATTAAGGCACGAGGGAAACGACTTGTGATTTTCCAGTGTCCATTTGACAACACTGCTGGGTTTGGAGTTGTTTCCCGTCGTGCTACACGGTGAAAGAAACAACGGACAAGCGCCAGCCCACCAAGAATGCTCTTGGGTTGCATGTGCTTGCTATAGGATGAATAAGAAGCATGCATTTGGTCCATGCCTTCAAAACCTGTAAATATCTCAGTCTCAAACGTTTATTTGAGCACAGAGACAATGTGGTCAGATCCAATCCTGACTTAACAAAATGCCTTGCGAGAGCCCTTAATACTAGTAATAGCATCCGAGATGTGAAAATCACATCTTCGGGGTGCATGAGGTTTTCGATGATTTTCCATGCGTGTGTGGAATTGACTTAGCTTCTTGGGTCACAGATTTGGATGTTTTTAGCTCCTTGTCTCCCATAGCATTTTTCCTATGTTAATGACTAGGGAGACAGTTGCCACAATCCCATCCCCCTGTTTGTCTGCTTTGGAGGACATTGATTTTCACTGGAAAATAAAATGAATGAAAAAGAATGGCCAGGAGCGTGTCCCTGAAACTCTGCTTGGAAGGCACCTTCAGAGGACAGAGGAGCGAGCAAATGCTTGCAAGAGGAGAAGCCCCTGGTCCGTGCCGCTTTCCTGATCCTTTAAATTGGTTCTGGGCTGCAGAATGTTTGTCTTCTTCTCTTTCTGCTTCCCCAAAGATCTGTAAGCCAATCAATTCAGAGTATGTGCTCCTTGAATAAGTTCAATATGCCAGGCATAGCCGCCACCCGTCTCCTTCATGGTGCTGCTAGTTCAGCCCTGACCTCCACCCTGCACACTGTCCAAGCTGTCTGAGGTCCTCTAGGTCATGACGATCCCCATTTCCTGTCATTGCAGGCTCGGCCGGCTTCAGGACACAGCACAGGAGCGGAATGCTGAACCAGGGCTTATGGCATATGAATTGCAACATTTCCATATTTTTCCTGCACAAACAGCTGGGACCAGATTGTATACACATTTCAGGGTAAGTCTGAGAGATGCCCTGCTAATCACTAAGAAATTTCTTGAATAAAGGAGGAATGAATCTATTCATTCATTCATTCATTCATTCATCCAATACTTTTGCTGTACTAAAGTATAAGTACTCCGCTCCAAACATGTAAACATGAATGTTTCCTTTTTTGATTTTGGAAAAGTAAGGACGGAGAATATCCCACATCGATTGTTGCTAGATATGCTGCAAATCTCCCATGGGGGGGAACATGGGAAAGAAAATCGTAAAAATATTTGCTCCTGATTCACAATGTTAATAAAAGCTTTGTTGCTATTTAGACAGCCTGGGAATGGAATGAAATATAAAAATCTTGATAAGAGTGAATTTGGTTGGGAATGAAATAGAAGACTTTATCTATCTATCTATTTATTTATTTATTTATTTATTCATTTATTCAGTAGGCTAAACACCCAATGCTGGGGTTGAACTTACAACCCTCAGATTAAGAGTCACATGTACCAGTGACTGACCCAGCCAGGCACCCTGAAGGCTAATTTAAATTGTAGAGAACTTAACAGTTATTTTTACTGAAAGAATCGGGACACCCAACCTTGCTCTGCCCCTGGTAAGCAAAGAATGACCTGCAAATGTCCCGCTTTGGGACCAGACTGACCTCGGGGCTGAGATCTCAGCAGACCACAGGGGATCTTGCTAGCTGAGCGAATCCGGGCAAATTGTGACTGAACTTCTCTCTATGTAGCTTCCATTGTCCGCCAACAGCAGGACAATCATAGCGATAAAATACTCCCCCAAGGGCTGTTGGGAGGGTTAAATGAGATATCGCACGCCAAACCTTTTGTACATTCCAAACACACAGACAAGTTCTAATTAATTAGCCGTGTGACCTTCTGGGAAGTCACTTAACCTCACCGGTTTCAATTCTCTCCAATTCTAAATTCTCTTTCCAAACAGCCTCCTTGGATTGTAGAGAATTGTAATTAGCATATCCGGCACCCGCCTAATTTGTGCCAGCTCCCGCTATCACTGCAATTATACTGTTTATATGTAAATGGCACCTCAAGTCCCTGAATGGTGCCAGTGCACTTAGCTAAGAAAACAGTGTCTAATCTTATTGACACTCCTCCTTTCCTTAGCAAATCTTTGTTCGCTGGGAACTCAAAGGTACACTTCTGAGCAGCCCCAAGGAACAGACAAGGTTGAAAAAACTGCAGTATGAATTCTCAAGATTTTTCTTTGGTTGAGTGATGGGAACAGAAATGACCCTACACGTGCATAGTACCCACCTTCCTTTAAAAGTGTTATCTCAACGCTAATTCTGTTTGGATGGACTGTTGCAGTTAGCTCTGACAGCCACTTGAAGCATTTTTTTTTAATTTTTTAATTTTTTTAAAAATTTTTTTTGAAGCATTTTTAAACTGAGAGGAAATTAACACCCCCCAAACCCCATCAAGAGGGGGGTTTTTGTGTGTGGGGGGGGGGGCGGGGGGGGGGGGTAGGATGGAGAACGCGAGCATGCGTCCAACAGAAATCTGTATAGTCGGAAGGTTTGATTGAATGAGTCTTAGAATCTGCTGGTTGACTCCATTTCCCACCCAAACATCTGAGTCAGCCCTAGTTAAGGCTCATTCATTTAGCACATAAATTTTGCCAAACACAGAGAACACAAAAATGACTAATCATTGCTTTGGGCCTCAAAGAGTCTCATTAAGGAGCCAATATACAAGCAAGGATGATGTATTAGGATGTGTTAGGGAAGATGGGTGCTGCCATGGGGCGCAAAGGAAAGAATAAACAATTTCCCACTGATGAAGGTGGGAGGGGGCTGGTGAGGAATAGTCTAGAGAGGAGGCGACCATTTTTGTCTTTTCCAACTTTGTGTTCCCCCAATTATTAAGGTTTCTTCTCTGCTCCCCATTCTAAAGAAAGATGCTAGCTCTTGCCATCTGTCAAGTCTACGGCCTCCTGTTTGGGGACATGACATTGTCCCCAAACTAAATGTGTCAGTGGGAGAGCCGCATGGCTAATAACTACAAGCAAAGCAGAGTTTTGCTGACTTGTTTGGGCATGTTCCCTGGAAGGGGAGACTCAGCAGGGCCTATTTGTCAACCTCCTCCTCAGTGGGGAAGCCAGGGCTCACCAGCAGCTTGGGGTTCCTATGGGTCATATTCCCGAACCCCCCCCCCCCGCCAGTTTATGGTATAAACAGTGGGTGGACTTTTCACAGGGTCCACCCAGTAAAATTTCAAAGCCCTCCTCTTTAGGATAATTTATTCATTGGAATGAGGCCACTGTGTGCCAAGAAGAATATGGAAAGGTGGTTTCTGCTTAGAGTCTCTCCACTCCCATACAACCCAACCCAGAGGTGGTTCTTGAAAGTATCCAACAACCATCTTTATGAGCTTCAGAGTCCCCGGGGCAGTCGTTCTTCAATTTCCCACGTGTCAGCATCACCTGGCCTCCACCCCCAAGAGTTTCCTATTCAGTAGGTCTGGGTTGAACTTGAGAACTTGAATTTCTAGCAAGTTCCCAGGTGAGACCACATTTTGACCACCACTGCCTCAGAACAATGATTGATTGCTTCCTGCTAAAGCAAGCTTTTCAGACAATTTAAGTATAAGATTTAGTGCAATCTTGCATGGTTAGATGATTAGACCAGATGTCATAAGAAAAGGGTGTTTGTTGAGGCGCCTGGGTAGCTCAGTCAGTTGAGCATTTGACTTCGGTTCAGGTCATGATCTCACAGTTCGTGCATGGGTTTGAGCCCTGCATCAGGCTCTGTGCTGACAGCTCAGAGCCTGGAGCCTGCTTTGGATTCTGTGTCCCCCTCTCTCTCTGCCTTTCCCCTGCTTACGTTCTGTCTCACTCCCCAAAATAAATAAACATTTTTAAAGATTCAAAAAAAAAGAAAAAGATGTTTGATTAAAGATCACCTTTGTCTTGGGGCGTCTGGGTGGCCCAGTCAGTTAAGCAACCGTCTTTGGTTCTGGTCATGAGCTCGTGGTTCCTGAGTTCAAGCCCAGAATCAGGCTCTGCTCTGACAGTGTAGAGCCTGCTTGGGCTTCTCTGTCTGCCTCTCCCCTCCTCTCTCTCTCTCTCTCTCTCTCAAAATAAATAACTAAACTTAAAAAAAGAAAAAAGATCACCTTTGTCTCACTTGGCTGAGTGGGTGGGTGACAGGTTTCCCAGAAGCATTCTTCATTAAAGTTTATCATGAAATTGTTTTATTTTTTTAAATGTTTATTTATTTATTTTGAGAGAAAGAGTGCACAAGCAGGGAAGGGACAGAGAGAGAGGGAGAGAGAGAATCCCAAGTAGGCTCCATGCTGTCGGCACAGAGCCAATGTAGGGCTTGATCCCCTGGACCATGAGATCATGACCTTAGCCTAAATCAAGGGTCGGATGCTTAACCAGCTAAACCACCCAGGGGCCCTTAATTTTTTTTTTTTAATCAAGAATGCTAATTTCTTTCCAGAAGAAGATTGGGAATTATATCATACAGACTTAGATTCCCACACTGGGTTAAGCCCATATATTCTTTTATACCAGGAACACAAGGCAAAACCTCCTTACATAAATAGAAGGTAGCTTGACTGAGGATTCAATCTCCTCCCTCAGGTCTCTAAGAAAGGAAATGGCATCACACCACATTGCACTAGAAAATCAGAGTTCCTGCCATCTACACAGCAGTAGAGTTCCTTGTCTGCCCTTCTCTCTGCAAGCCATCTGTCTTGGCTCACTTGTAGTTTTCTCTGCGTCTGGCTTCAGTCTGTCATAGCTTGAACTACGACCACATATGGCATTGCAGCTCTGTTCCCATAGCTAACCGCCTCCTTTTGCTCCTCCTTGTGTTCCAGAACTCCCCCGAGAGAAAGAACTGACTAACCCAGCTTGAGCCAGGGATCTGACCAGACCCAGTGGGGGTTGGGGAAATGCTGCCGGCTCCAGGGCCAATGACCCAGCGTCCTTGACGGGAAGGGGAGTCTGGGTAGGGAGGCAACAATGGGTGCGTGCAAGTGAACCATATACATCCTACCTCGAAGCTTTGCATACGTGGCACTCCACGCATAAAGCATCTGGCTAGACACTCAGTAAAGATTAGTTTCTTTTCTACCTCGTTGTTCTTCTGGAAAATTCATCAGGAATTCAGGGAATGAGGTAGAAGATTCTGGTTAGCTGTACCATGTCTAGCAGGAAAGCATAGGGGGGATGGTCTTCTGAACCCTTGCTCTCACCACCCCCCACCCCCTTACTGGCTGCACAACTAGTGTTATCTCAAGGCTCAGTCATGTTCTCAGTCCCGGGGCTCCACAGGAGAGGCAAAATCTTCAGGTCTGCTAGCTCAGGACACCAGGGAATAGTCTTACACACCTCTCTTTCTTCACACTTCAGGAAAGTGTGACCATTTGTCAGAGGCTTTCTTTTCGCAGCAAAGGTGACAGAAAAATTATGGGCGTTGCTAAAAAACAAAATTCAGCGGAGTAAATGTGAGGATATAGTTTGCTTTATTCGATGATTCACGAATCGGCAGCATCCCATCTTCGCAAGTAGGAAGGAGTACTGAGGAGTTAAACAAAATGGAACCTTTTAGAGGCAGGAGGGGGCAGGGACAAGCAAGTCATAAGCAAAGGAAAGGATTGTTTCAGGCCAGGTCTCCTTCCTTTAAGGTCTATCGGGCAGATGACCTCACTAGTACTGGTCAGGTAATTCCAGGCTTATTGGTTTAAATTCCACTCCTGGGAGAGGCTGAAAATGCAATTAGGATAGGTGTTATGTCTGGCTTCACTGGCATGGGGCTCAGCACAAGTGACTCCATTTTGGACCTCTTGTTTCTTTTCTTAACAATGTGTGAGATTGTACCTTAATCTGAAGTGTCTAAACCATATGCTTAACCATAATCCAAAGGTTTGAATAAATATGTGGATTTAATAGCATATATTATTTTTTGCCAATTTATGGGGGAGGGGAACCCTTTCATAATCCCAACAGAGACCATGGCTCTTAATATTAGCATTAAGGGTTTATGAAAAATGTAACATTTAATTCAAGTCCCTGTTTGGGCATGTTCAATTCAAGGAGATTTCTTACCTTTTCTCTAGTCCCCTCCGCTCCTTCTTTCTTTTGTTATTTATTTATTTATTTATTTATTTATTATTTGAGAAAGAGAAAGAGAAAGAGTGAGAGAGCACAAGTGGGGGGAGAGGGCAGAGAAAGAGAGAGAGAAAGAGAGAATCCCAAGTAAGCTTCATGCTCAATGAGGAACCTGACACGGGGCCCCATCCCATGACCCTGGGATCATGACTTGAGCTGAAATCAAGAGTCGGACAGTCAAAAAAAAAAAAAAAAAAAAGAGTCGGACAGTCAACTGAGTCACCCAGGCTCCCCTTTTGTTTTATTTTAAATTTAAATTTTACCAGTATTTCTAGGACTTCCTGTCAGTAGAAGCCGTGTTTTTACTGGTAGAGTTTTGACCCGTCACGACCTTAACACCAAAAGGCAAGATGGCAATCCAGTGCCACAGTAAAAGGTCCCTCGGGACATCCTTGTCCCACTGTGGCGCTTGCATCCCTCACTGCCGTAAGACAGCAGCCAGGGGCACGGACAGCATCCTGGGAGCTCCTGTGTTCACAGTGCACCTCTGGTCTGTTCACCAAGGCAGGGGGCAGGCTCTGTGGGAAGAGTCACCCAGGTCTATTTTAATGTCAAAGTAGTTGCATTTCTTTCTGTACTGCAGTAAACTGTATATCAGTTTAGCAAGGATCATTTCCTGAAGGTACAAAAAATTCTTTTTTCTCAGATTGTGTCACTTACAAGCAAACTACTCTTCCTTGCCACATGTCAAATTGACCATTGACTAACTAGGCACCATAAGAACATATTGACATTATTTCCTTTGGGAATTCTGTCGTTTTTAATCATTTTCATGTTGGTGGGAAAGAAAATATTGAAAGCATATTTCATTGTATTTACCCTTATTAGAGGGCTTCCCATATTCACAACCAGGAATTCCTCAAAGAACTTAGACACAGAAACCACCAAATGAAAAGTTCAAAATAAAAAGTAGCCCTTTCTTCTTCAGGTTGGCTATAATTTTTCAGATTGCTCAGCCAAATTATGGAAAATCATATTTTATCCAGTAGTTATAATGAACCTCTGTGCTCCCGCAGCAACCTCTCCATTTATCTTCTCATATGTTTTAGGAAGAAAAGCTTTTATCCAGCATTCTTCCCATCCGTGTTTTGTTTGGTTTTCCTGCTTTGAACTGGATCTGAAAACGTCTTCTTAATTTGAAAATAATCTTTTCTTTGGAACTACCCAGTCGAGGTTCTCAAAGCTTAATGTGCATCAGAATCACCCAGAGGGCTTGGGGGCGCCTGGGTGGCTCAGTCAGTAGAGTATCCGACTTGGACTCAGGTCATGATCTCATGGTCCGTGAGTTCGAGCCCTGTGTCAGGCTCTGTGCTGACAGCTCAGAGCCTGGAGCCTGCTTCAGATTCTATGTCTCCTTCTCTCTCTGCCCCTCCCCCACTCTGTCTCTATAAAAAAATGAATAAACATAAAAAAATTTTTTTAAATAATAAAAATTAGGGAAGTCAATATTATATTCAAAATCTTTGTCACTTTTTTTCTACAGATCAACAAGAGTGTTTGTAGACTATTGAAAGGTGGATTTATATATAAGACTTCTTTCCCATTGAAGACATCAGATTGGAGTCTTCTGATGAAGACATCAGATTTGAACTGATAGCGCAGAGCCTGACATGGGGCTCGAACTAACGGACCGCAAGATCATGACCTGAGCCGAAGTCAGATGCCCAACCTACTGAGCCACTCAGGTGCCCCGACCTCCCTACCTTTTAAAGATGAAAGAGAGGTATAATTACCCCTAAACCTTTCTACAAGCCCCCTCATCCCTATGCAATTTACTTTTCATGTCTTGCTGTATCCCACTTATTTATTTTTTATTTATTTATTTGTTTATTTATTTTGAGGGACAGAGAGAGAGGAGAGAGAAACCCAAGCCGGCTCCACGCTATCAGCACAGAGCCTGATGTGGGGCTCGATCCCACCAACTGCGAGATCATGACCTGAGCTGAAACCGAGAGTCAGACGCTTCACCAAATGAGCCACCTAGGCACCCCCACCCCCCCACTTACTTATAAATACAAGTTCAGCCTCCAGGTAAGGAGTCCTCTTTTCCAAACATAGAAATTCCTGAAGAAAAGGGGAAGAATTAGCTTCTGTGTCCCACTGACTTTGCATTTAGGGCCATGTAACTCTGGGTGCAAATTTCAAGGGATAATGAAAACTATAGCTTTGGCCTCCAGAATTGAAATACTTTTTGTAATTGAAATACTTTTGTACTGGTAAAATGGCAATTGTACAAATGAAGGATAAACAAAATCTCCTAAGTGAAATATTTTCTTCACCAAATGAAGTTTAGTCAACTACTAATTTAAGGCAACATTTCACATCTTCTTGTATATCAGCGAAAAAAACTGATAGCACCCATAATTTTCATTTATAAGTGCAAAAATGCAGCCCTGTTTTCTCAAACTTATTAAAGTTGATAACTTTATCACTAACACCTTCTGGATTAAAACTGTAACCATCCAGGGGCGCCTGGATGGCTCAGTCGGTTGAGCGTCCGACTTCGGCTCAGGTCATGATCTCACAGCTCGTGAGTTCGAGACCCGCGTCGGGCTCTGTGCTGACAGCTCAGAGCCTGGAGCCTGCTTCGGATTCTGTGTCTGCCTCTCTCTCTGCCCCTAACCCCCTTGCATTCTGTCTCTGTTTCTCTCAAAAATAAATAAACATTAAAAAAAAAAAAAAAAACAACTGTAACCATCCAAACACAGGACAATTAAGTAACCAGAGAATATTTAGACCAGAAATAGAAGACAACACTGTGAACGAGGTAATCTTTTTCTACCATGAATTACAAACATACAGAATGAAAGTTGAAGAATATGTAAGGAAAATGGCTTTATTTAGTTTGATTAGACAAAAAAAAATCTTAATTTGTTTTTAAATTAAAAACGGAGAACACCAATTCTGCACAGAGATTTGTTTCCATTTCAGCATAACAAAGAAAACGTCTCTTTCTCTAGAGGGAAGGATGGCCGTTTGCCAACAGCTACTGACACTGGGGTCCAGCTAAGGTCGCGGTTCCTCAGCTGTGATGTGGGTGCCCTATGTGTTCTGCATCCCGGACCCCCACCTGTAGCCCTCATGGGACTTGGGGGGTGAGGGAACCGATTCCAACAAGAAGCTCCCGCTGTATGCTGGGTCTGGAGAAATACACTAAGTCCACGAAATGGGTGCCGTCTTTTTGGCCAAGACGACGGAAGGGTGACAAGTCCCCACACCCCTTCTGTGCCACTGTTTAGGAACTGTAAGCCTGTTCATGACTCCATTGTGAAGCCCCTTTTTATTTATTTAGCCAACTTTCTATATTTTATGTTTGTAGCAATTCTTTATACACTGTGTATACAAGACCTCTGCCATTTAAATGTGATGCCATATGGTCGTGTTTGGAGATACACAAACAGAAATATTGTTTTAGAGTATGGTATTTAGAGACAAAAGGACACAGATCCTAAGTGTACATCTTTTTTTTTAAGTTTATTTATTTTCAGAGAGAGAGAGAGAGAGAGAGAGAGAGAATCCCAAGCAGGCTCCCTGCTGCTGGCACAGAGCCCACTGTGGGGCTTGAACCCACAAACTGTGAGATCATGACCTGAGCCGAAATCAAGAGTTGGACCCTTAACCAACTGAGCCACCCAAACACCCCCTTAAGTGTACATCTTGACAAATATCACAAAGTGAATATGTCCAAGTACTGTCCAAGAAATAGACCATTAGTAGCGCCTCAGAGGCCTGCTCAAGCCCCTACAACCTACAGGCGGCCCCTCTCCTGACTCCTAATGCCACAGGTTAGTTAGGTGGACCTGTTTTGAACTTTATATACTTGGAGACATTCAGTGTGCTTCCTTTTGTATCTCGTTCATTTTGTTCATGTTATTGTTTGTAAGTTTCCTATAACACACTGTTCTATGTGGTTCTATTTCATTCACTCTCATTGCTACATGGAATTCCATTGTAGGACTGCCACCACTTAATTATTTATTCCACCGTTTGTGGTCACTTCCATTGTTTACATTTGGGACTATAAAGAACAACACTGCCGTGAACGCTCTTTGATGCACATGTTACATGCAGTTCTGTTGGCTGTAATTTTAAGAGATAAGGCAGAATAGGTTCTACAATGGCTGTACCAGATTATATTCCTACCAGAGCGTATGAGTGTTTCTGTCCCTCCCACACACGGCACGGTTCTTCTATTTCAACTTTAAAACCAGCTTAAGTTCCAATAATCACACACAGGTCCACGTAGAATACACGCATCATTTGAACTTTGCATGGAACTTGCTGCTCTCTGTCTCCATTTCTGTAGGATCAGTGTAATCAGTATGTGTGTTAAAACACTTAAATTCTGGGGCATCTGGGTGGCTCAGTTGATTGAGCTTCTGACTTCGATTCAGGTCATGATCTCTCAGTTTGTGGGTTTGAGCCCCACAACCGGCTCTGTGCTGACAGCTCGCAGCCAGGAGCCTGCCTCAGAGAGCCTCGCTCTCGTTCTGCCTCTCCCCCATTTGTGCTCTGTCTCTGTCTCTCAAAAGTAAATAAACATCTAAAAATATTTAAATTCCTAGGTTTGGAAGGATAGATGTCATTGACATGTCCCATTCTATAGGGTCGTTGTTTCAAATTATTAGGTTGTGGACTCCTTTGAGAATAAACCTTAAGTCCTTCTCCTCTCTAAAATGTATTTATGCACAAATGCCCAGAAACTTCTACCTGAACTTCTGAAGAGACTCACACCCTCAGAAGCCCTTCAGTTCCTGACCTCCAGATCAAGGATTCCCTTATAAAGCACTGACATTAGCCGAGTAACTGCTCTCAAGAGATCTTCTGCTTCTTACTTCCTGCCTTTTCATTTCCCTCCTTTTCTTCCAGTGGAGCAAAGTTCCAACTTCCTACTTTGAACGAGTCACACCTCATTTCAAAGAGACCAGGGACCGCCTCATGCATGCTCACTGGCCTGGGGAGTGGGAAGGCCTCTTGCCAACAATCTCTTTACTATTCTCTCCTCTTCACCAACCTGCTGCCTGTGGCTCCCTCAGGTGGCGTCAACTCACACACATCCACCGTGCCCCAGTCCGACTCCACACCCTGCTGCTGGCTGTCTTTCTCATCTCCAGTCTCCAAGAAGGAAACATTCTTCCCCAATTTCCACATTTCCGGGGGGGAAATAGATCCAATCTGTCAAATGGTGCCAAGCCCCATGCATCCCTGATCATTAGAACCACCCGGAACTCTGATGCCTGGCCCCATCCTAGTCAAGTTATATCAAGGTCTTGGGACAGAGGCCAGGCATCGGTGTATCTTCCAGGTTTCTTTGGGTAATCCTGATGTTCAGAGAAGGTTGAGAACCAGTTGTAGAGGCTAAGGGCTGTGGACAGACAAACGATATAAGAAATGTTTCATCCAAATGTATAGAAGAACCATTTTGATGTGCAAAGTATGAGGGAATGAAAATGCTCATGAGAAACCTAGAGAAGATTTGTCTGCAGCAGTCCATTAAATTCAGAACACTTGGAGCGATGAGCTCTCCACATGCTGTCCAGGCTCCCCTTTAGCCAAGAACAGAGACAAAAACGGAGGTCTTCACCCTCCCACTGGCTTACTGGTTTTTTTTTTTAAATTATTATTTTTTATCTTTGAGATATATAAATGTTTATCTTTTTTTTTTTTTTTAATTTTTTTTTTTCAACGTTTATTTATTTTTGCGACAGAGAGAGACAGAGCATGAACGGGGGACGGGCAGAGAGAGAGGGAGACACAGAATCGGAAACAGGCTCCAGGCTCCGAGCCGTCAGCCCAGAGCCCGACGCGGGGCTCGAACTCACGAACCGCGAGATCGTGACCTGGCTGAAGTCGGACGCTTAACCGACTGCGCCACCCAGGCGCCCCTAAATGTTTATCTTTGAGAGAGAGACAGACAGAGCACCAGCAGGGGCAGGGCAGAGAGAGAGCGAGACACAGAGTCCAAAGCAGGCTCCAGGCTCTGAGCTGTCAGCACAGAGCCCGATGTGAGGCTCGAACTCACAAACTGCGAGATCATGACCTGAACTGAAGTTGGACACTTAGGCACCCCTATTGTTTTGTCTTTTCAAAAATTAAATTCTTAGCGTTAATGTTTTTGTTGTTAAAATAACGCATACTCAACAAAGAGCAACTTTTTGAGTACGCATTACTCACATAATTTAAAATAGGGGGGTGCCCAGGGCAGCTCAGTCAGTTGAGCCACGGACTCTTGATCTCAGCTTAGGTCTTCATCTCGGGGTCTTGAATTCAAGCCCCGTATTGGAGTGAAGCCTACTTAAATAAATTGATAATAACAAATTAAAAGAGTTGCTGAAAGAAATGCTATTGTTAAATGTAGTCCCTTCGACTTTTTCTGTTCATGTGATTCCTGCATTTTTGGTCAAGTGTCATCATTATTACACTATATTAACTGAATTTTCTGCCTTTTTCCTTAAATTCTAATGTAAGTGGCTTTTCTGGCTATTATATAATGTAACTTGAAACTATATAATCTCGCATTTATTTTTTAGCATTATTTAAAAATATTCTTTCAAAAAACCCAAAATTAAAAAGAAACCCATACAATAAAATAAAACAAATTTTTTTTTAATTTTTTCAACATTTATTCATGTTTGAGAGACAGAGAGAGACAGAACACAAGCAGGGGAGGGGCAGAGAGAGAGGGAGACAGAGATCTGAAGCAGGCTCCAGGCTCCGAGCTGTCCGCACAGAGCCCGACATGGGGCTCGAACCCACCAAAACATTCTTTCTTTACTAGGAAGCCACAGAGGAGACCCTTTCCCTCCATGTATGAAGTCTCTGTTCGGAACCACAGATAGCAAGACTATG